ATCTAAAAATAAATAGTAACGCGCACCAGATTAGCCGGTGCGAACATATTTTTTTGCACCAAACTTGAAGTACTCAGGTCGTTAACTGCATGAATGGTTATTGCTTTACACCTACCTTTTCGATCCCTGAAGTAAATCATCGTGAATTTTGCACAGAGGAAATGAATAATTGCAGTTTAACGGTCGTTCTTTGAAAATGACCTAGCTGTTCAGTGAGCAATTTTTTCGCCAAAACACTTTTAAGTGCCCGTGCAAGAGAACCACGCATACTTGGAGGCTGATTTTGAAATATTTAAGTTGCATTTGGATAAGGAACATTCCTCTAAAATTTCAACTTTCTAGCTTTTCTGGTTCTCGAGTTGAAATTGGGTGACAAAAAGTGCGCATACACAGACAACTAACTCCTTGAAAATATGAGTTTTTGCATTGCATAGATGCGAAAAAAAAAAATGCATAAAAACGAATAAGTTCTTACATTTTTCGATATTATCATCATCATCATCGTTATCAGAATCGGAATCCGAAAAAGCTCCGTTGCTGCTGCTTGCGTTATCATCATCACCATCAGGCTCGGATGAATCACCTTCAACGTTAAGCACCTCTTCCGGACGGCGCTTTTGATGCCGGGCATGCTGCTGCCGCTCCTCGTCCGACGACATATCCAATGTCATGTGGTGTTGATCAATCTCATCGTACACATCGCTACCATCCTCGTCCGATTCCATTTTCAGCCTAAAAATCACGCAAATCCAAAGCAACAGTAATATCGCGACCATAATTGTTAGCCTATTAGACTAGTGTGTGTCCCGTTTGTATGTGGGTATAAAACGTCGCGTCCTATATACATATTTATAATAAAGCGAGAATACATGTTAAACGAGATTACAAATAAACGAGGTAAGGCTCCGGGGAGCCGAAACTCCCCCAGAATAAGAGTATTGGTTAAACAGAAGAAATAGGTCGCAGGTAAAATAGGAGTGATGGATAGGTAAAAGAAAATGAAGATCCTGGTGATGGGGAGGAGTGCTTTTATGCCCCAAGGGAGATAGATCGAAAGTTTAATGAGGATAGGGTCGTCGAAGTTTGAACTAGGGACAGGGATAATGCGTCATAGTAACGCAGTTGATCTTTAATCTATTTTTTAAAAAAAAACCATTGATCATTATTTGATATATTATGCGATAATAACTTCCAGCCCCTAAATGCATCTTATACTGTCTGTGTGTTTACAGCTAAGGGATGAAACACAGGCAGACCATTTCCTGCATATTCCTCTCCACATGACTTTTCAACATGTCATACGGTTTTGTGTCACACGAACAGCCCTACTATCTTTCCCATCATAATTTATTAAACTAATCCAACAGCAAGTTAAAGTTTTCGGACTGTGCCCGTTCCGCATTTTCCAAGCTTCAGACCGTCCGCTTATTTCAGAGATTACGGCTCGGCCCGAACATCGGCCGCAAATTATTTTAGCAAACTTATCCCACCCTTCAAATTTTGACTTTCTGACCCTGGCCGTTCCGCATCTTGATTTCTTTGGGTCGTCCGCTTCCTTTGAGCCTATGATTCGGTCTTCTAATGGTCACAATTTACCTTCCCAGCAATCGCACGTGCATGTAGATTAAGTTTCCAAAGTTTCAACCCTGTAGTTTTTATGGGTCTTGAGATGAAAAATCGGTACACACACACACACACACACAC